TAATATTTTCTAATAAATATTCTTTGACTCTTACTTTGCTGTCATGTTTTGATGTTAAAAAATCTTTAAAGTTATTCTTGTAATTTGATATTAGTGGAATGAAGGATTCGTTTACGTTTGATATTTGAATTTCGTTAATCATGACTCTAGTCCAAATTACGAATTCAAAGCTGAGCTTCAGCAAATTTTTACAAAATTCAATATTATAAAAGGCATTTCTGGGTTTCAATTCGTTGTCTGTAATGAGTGATCGAGCATCTGCAAAAATATTACTGAAATGCTGCACAATACTTTTACATAAATTTGTGTCCAATTTAATCTCGTCTTCTTTGCTTAGTAAATTTTCGAACTCTTTTTGAATTTCTGTAATTTTACTACTTTCAAAATTAATGCTTACATCTAGATCGTTTATTTTCTTTTCAAAATCATTAAAAATTAATGTAGTTTTTTCATCTCGAAATTTACTACTGCAGAGAATAAATAAATTTTTCAAACTTTTTTCAAAATTTTTTAAACTTGTTTGTGAGCTCAATACGATTATGGAGTAAATCATAAATATTTGATTGGATTTTAATTTTATATTTTTTATGCATTCCCACTGCATTACTTTTACTAGTAGAAGTCTTTCATGGACGTTCAAAATACATCTTGGTAACGTGTCTTTTCCATTATTCAAGTAACTGAAACACAACTCCAAATATTTTTCATAACTATTGTCAACATTGAAAACATTAATTACAGAAATAATATGATTATTAATGTAATCTAATGTGATTGATTTGGGAACTGGTAGTCCACCACGAAGAATTTCACTAAAAAATCTAGTTAAAAGAGAAGAACGATTTTCTTCAGAGGACAACTGACAAATAGGAATAAAATTATTTGCTACTTCAATACCTAAAGAATACAACGATATCTTGTTGCTTTCATACCCATCAGGTGAAACAAAATTATTGCAGAAAGACCCTACAGTGCTAAAATAGAAATGCGTATCTCGTGGTAAATCTGTTGCTAAAGTAATGCATTCTTTTGGCAAGTACATAATTACAAAAGGAAATGTGCCAAGCTCCTTAATCGAAGGGCTGTACAAATGATCTCTCTTGATTTGCAACAGATCAAATTCATCATTGATATTTTTACAATCAGTAACAATTTTTTTTTCGGGTTCAATCTTTTTTTCACATGTTTTTAAATCTACTAAAATATTATTTCTGTTCTGAATGATGTAAGTAAATAAGTTTCGTACTTTCAAAAAAGGTGTGGGATGAATAGCATTATTGATATTGGTACATATCGCAACCCACACAGGATCCGATTCAGATTTTAATAATCCGTTCTCATCATAAATTTGATGCCTTTTTACTTCATTGACTTTATCTTCATGTGATACAGACGGCTTAGGACCCCTGGTTTTTTTTTCATTTGCCTTTACTTTTTCGTACCTCTTTTTGCCCATAACTGTAATAACAATTTTATTATTAACTAAATAAATCTCACACGAAACATTAGCAGTGTTATTTTATCAAATTTCATCTACTTTTAACCTTATAATTCAGAAATATAGAAACAGATAAATTTTTTTGCAATTATATGACTTATTAGTTACAGTATTTGATAATTTTGAAAACCAAAGAAATTAATTTACGCCATTAACCAAATAATTATCTGTTTTTTGCTTCTTTCTGTAAACAAAGTTAATAAGTACTAAACCTGCTTTACCAGCAATTAGAACATTTATGTGATTACCATCGTAGTGTAGCACTTATTTTTCAAAAGACAAATACAAAAAAACTGTATATTCATCTTCTAAGATATACTTAAGCTTTTTAGATTAGTAATTGGCCTAAGGTTGTGATGAAAAAAAAGTTTTTCCACTCAATAAGCTTGAAGATTCCTTCTCGTTTCCTATTTTCATGGAAGCCACTGTCAGGATTGCGGAATGAGTGATCCTGAATTAAATCACAAGGAATGATTCGAGGAGGAAGACGATGTCCAGTGATAGCTGAGTACTTGAAAGCCTAGAATATTAAAGTACTAACAAAGTAACTTTGCTCAATCTCGTGGGTTTATATGAAGAATAGAAGTTTATACTTATCTGATGCCACAGTTGATCATTTTCGAAGAACAAATTTTGAGCACTGAACTGTGTGAAGAGTAAAAATTTTCATTAGGTAAATTGATTGACCAGAATAAATTGTCCAAATGAATGTATTTATTACCCTATAGCAATAATTATGCTCACAAACGACTGTACAATAAAATCCACAATAATAAGTCGTGTTTACACTATTTAGCTGTCTTCTGCTCCGAGCCCGACTCCGAAATCTGAAGTATATATAGTGGCAGCTTCTGATGATAATTATATTGTATAAATCTGTAGCGATCGCTGTCATCTACTAGAGAGAGAATAAGGTGTTTCGTCCCGAGAGCACGCCAGGACTCATCAGTAAAGCTAATGACGTGCTCCCTGCCAGAGATGAGTAGAGAGATTGCTAACGCCAATGCTACGGCGTGAGACAACTTTTTTCCACTGATCGGGGCGACCCGCCGCGGCCAGCCGTCGAACCAAGGCGCACATTTTTCGAGAGTGCGAGACTCGTATCGAAGAGCGTCAACGCTATGATATCTATGATATAATTATCATAAACTTAAAAAAATTNCATTTGGTCCATGTTAGTGAATGTTGGGTAAGGTATAAGAAGAAATAACATCGAAAAATATCTCGCACAGAATACTTATTCGCTACACTATTTGTAAAAGACGAGATGTACAGAAATTAGCAGAGAAAATCGTAATTTAATCAAGCAATGCGATAACTTTTTATAATTCATCAAAATTCTTAAAAGAGCATAATAGTTTGATAAAATATATGGTAGGCATGCATCGAGGCATGCACAGTACTACTATATGATGTCACTATGCAAGCTCACAATTATAGGTAATCAAATGTTCGATGGTTGCATTACATTGTTTGTATGGATTAATTGGGTGTATAGAAAAAAGAAGTTTTATATTTTTCATACGAGAATGAGTCATAAATGTCTGTTTATTTTCTGAAAGTACATTGATATTCGGTGAGTGATCAAATTATTTGGGGGAAGATTGATTTTTTTTTTTTTAATGTCTACAACAGAATATATAAATAAACATAGACATTATCTGTAATATACGCCATTTAGAATACAAGTAATGATTAGATTACGTAGAACAACAAAGCCATGTTTATCACTTTGCTGCGAGAGACCGTTGTTGGTTTTTTACTTATAATATTTGAATTGTCAAACTTTCGCCAACATCCCTCCTTATCTTTTAGGTATGAAATGTAATGGCGTAAGTTTTCATCTTTATTGACAGACTTAATGTATTCAATTGCGCCGATAAGTTTAAAAGTCCTGTTATTCAAAGTAATCTGTGAATGTAACTTGAACAAAGGGTATGACATACAATTATTCTCTAAATCCAAGCAAAGTAGGTGACTTATTTCAAAATGGGTTTGTAATGATAGATCACTTTTGCATTTGTTACAGTTGATCTTAAAATTTGTATTGTGCTGGATACAAGTTGTTATGTCATCAGATAAGTAATTTTCCCATGTAAGTTTGATGACATTAAAATGTCTATACTCATGTAAATTACACACATTGCATTGTGATTTTGTAAAAATACATGGTATCATGATCTTTTCAAAAAATTCTCCAATAGGTTTTTTCCAACAAATTTCATCATTTTGTAAAGTTTTAGCTTCAATTGTGTTCATTTCAAAAACTTTGCATAAAAATTTGATTCTATGAGCATAAAACTTCTTCAAATTATACTTTGATCCATAGTCATTGATAATATTAACCAGCATATGATTTATATCACCAAAGTTTTGAGCACTCTCGATTAAGTCGTGAAACTGTTTTGATTCATTGTAACAAAATACAAGTATTTCAACAATAGCATCAAGAAAACTTGAAGAAATAACATATTGTCTCTTTTTTCCAAATTCCACGGGTTTTTTTGCGTTGTAATTGATTATTACATGCCTGTATTTGGGAAACACTGATATTTTTCCTTCTAGTGACTTCACATTAGAGAATGGTCGTAAAAATGAACCTTTTTTCTTACCAATGGGCAAATTATTAGTAACAATAATACTATCATGGGTTATTTTAACACCCTTTTGAAGTGAGATACCATTTTGAAAATTTGTAGGAAGGCTTTGTTCAGATTTTAATTGACAATTTTTATCTTCAATATCTATTTTGCTATTCTCTTTTTCAAGTAATGAATTTGTTTTAAATTTTTTATCCATACTATTATCAAACGAATCTCAAGAATTTATATCTTCATCACTTTGTTCAACTATTTCACAAGTAAAATGAATACTATGAGGTTTGCTGCATTCAACAACATTAAGCTTAGATTTATTACAGTAGCTAGTATTCTTTAGAAAATTACTCGAATAATCTGCAGAAGTCAATGAATTATCAGTTTNATTCATTGCAGACTTCTATAAAATCGTAATTTTATAAAAATAAAGGCGAGAATAATCTCATTCGGATTATATATAAATTCAAGTTGAGCATATTTAAATTTTTAGCGCCTTTGCTATGTGTGGTGTAGTACTGCAGTAGATAACTCCGATAGTGGGGACAACAGCCAAATAAAAAAACAATTATTTGCAAACTAATATTGCATATTTCGCATTTCCACATATTTTTCCTTAATCAGCAAAATATTTGCAAACGATCTAGATATGCTTAGTGTTTGCAAATTATGTCTGAGCCAAGAAAACGATAATTTTGAAGGTTCTCGCCGCAACAAAAGTTTTTTGTTAATTATGAAAAACGTAAAAACCCCACAGTTTTTTAACAAAGTTTTGCAAACGTTGCAAACAATTCCGCATTTTTTGGCATTATTAACACTTGAATACAAATATCCTCTCGCTGCGTTCGCTAAGCCGAACAAACCGCAATGAGAATGTGCAGTGAGTGTGGGGGTGATCGCATCAGCTGTCGTCTGATCAAAACAATCAGACTTTTGGTCAATATGCAAGTTAAAGTTTCAAGTGTGTGCACGTAGTTTATAAAAATAAACAGTTATAAATAAAATATGTGTTGGTTATCATCAGTTCTATGAGAAACAATGAGTATCAAGCCAAGATTCTTAGCGCCGGGTAAGTTTAGTTGAAATACAATCATTTTCGAGGTTATTTTTGAATCATCGAAAAGTTGAAAGAAAAAACTTGAAATTTCTTAATCAGGAATAAATTTACTTGGGACTGCATTTAATATTGGTTTTGGTACGATCATGGTAAACTTAAATATTTAATTTTTTTGTCTTCCATATCGATCAGTGAGTTTCTTGAAATTGATTGTTTACAAAAGTCATTGACTTAGCTATTCAAATCTGTTAAACAGTATTATTTGTACAGAAAATTTTTTGCTGGATTGACATGATGTGAGAAAAAATAATTTGCCTAATAACTCAATATTTTTTACATTAGGTGAAAACACCTGGCTAGAAGATAAAGTAGATATTGATGCACACGTGTCCACCCAGTTTGTTTATAACGCCAACCATTCATTGGCTTTTGATCTACAACGTAAAAGGTTGCCAATTTTCAAAGTTAGAAGTCACATAATTTATTTACTGGAGAAATATCAGACACTTATACTTGTTGGAGAAACAGGATGTGGAAAGAGTACTCAAATCCCTCAGGTAAGTTGTATTTAAAACTTTTGTTTAAACTACATTGATTAGTCAAAATTTTCATTTAAAAGTTCATCGAACTCAAAACTGCATGAGCATATAAAAAAACAACGGTGGTATATCTTTTGACCCTGAAAGTTTATTACTCAATAATCTGCAATGCGAAAAAAATGTGTATACATTTGTATAAAATGTTTCATCCTTGCATGCATGTTTTGCAAACTGCGAACCAGAGAAAATTCATATATCTTTTTTATCCCTCTTGAGTCTGTTCGGTAAAACATGTTGCAGCAGTCGGTAAACAAACTGTGCTGCATCTGCAATTCTGCACTAGGTATCTGCGTATTGAATTCCCGATCGAGCAAACTCCGAAATGAAAAAATATTTTTTTTTTAGTTTTGAAAATAAGCTTTATTAAGACCATAAAGGCTTTTATAGCTAATGAAAAAATATATATGTGCTAAGCAGACGATATTTATATTCTTTTGTAAACAACAATAACGATACAATGCAAAAACAAACTATTCACTTCCTTTCCTGCAATATTCGCAATTGGTGTATCAATACATTAATCACTTTAATCATTACTGTAATATTATCGTAATAGTTGTGTACCTACATGCATATTTGCCCTGATGCGCGAGTATTGACTCTGAGCTCGGAGCTGCGACCTGCGACTCCGAACTCCGGTCTTGTGTTGGTCATAAGCCATTCGCATTCATTACTAAACCAAACGGCAAACTTTCCAAAAGCTACGTCTCCTCCGCGAGTTAAGCCAGTCGGTCAGTCGTTTGTCGAGCGCGAAACACGACTGATAATGTTGTGTCTGGGTGGGCTGCACTGTACGTAAATTTTACAACTTACCACGGGTAAGCTTGTAAATACATACACGTGGACTCGATAACATCAACAACATTTGTTGTCCTTATCATGAACTACATTCATGATTTCTTTCTTTGTGGAGAAGTTTATGTTGTTTTGCACCCACAAAGTCACAACCAACACCGTGCCTGGGAATTTGCTAACCTTGAGGAAGCCAAACCGACTACCTACATGCGAAAAATTATAAGCAGAACGGTGCTTTGACAAGCTATAGAGTAAAGCAAGCAATTGAGCGAAGACTTTAAATATACTTACAACAACACAACAAAGTTTTTGCGCCAATTCTTTTCACTCTGCTCTCTGCGTGTGTACGTGCGTTTGTGTACATTCATAATAAACTCGGGTCGAGTGTGTTGTTGCTGTGGTGACATAAACATAAGAATCCACGCTCTATGCGACGATTGTTGCTTTTTTTTTTTTCCATTCGCCAATCGCATTGCGTTGGAGACGCTGCACAGACACAATGACAAAACGCAGCGATTATGACAGCCGTATCAGCAAAGTTATTAAAGTAATAGAAAAAAGCAGTTGTGCTAATTGAAAACGGAGATAATCGTAGTAGTAAAATAAAAATAATGATAAGCGCTGATATTGATACAAATGATGGATTAATGTGATAAATGTGGCGCAAGCTTGGCAGTATTGAATAGTGGCCCGGTGTGCAGTGTATGTTATGAATAAGAAACGTAAGAAGTGCATGAGGAAAAAAATGAAAAGCTGATATTTAAAATAATCGCTTTTCCCTTGAGTTTGTGCTTTGTTTTTGTTTCTTCTCTCCTACCCTCTTTTCTATACATCCCAGTATGAAAATAAAAGTTATTATTAACTTATTGTTGTTGTTGTTGTTGTTGTTCTTATTGCTGTTGTTGTTGTTTCAATAGTCAAAATGCTGTTGCCACCCCATTCAATGCGCCTAACACTTATCCTAGTAAGTGTGTTCTGCTGCTACATCCTGTTCATGGATTACCTGCTGTACAATCGCATACAGGACTATTCCATCAGACCAGTGAAAAGTGAAAAAAATTACAAGAGCAAGGTTCCATGTGATATCAACCCAATATGCGTGGTGACTGTAAAGGCTCTTATGTTGGACTATCCAAATCTGTACATTCTTAGTCCTCTGGCAGGTATAATTGATCGTATATTGGGCATAAGCAGTTCATGGCTTTGGATAACACCCAATATGATAAGTGGATTTCACGTGGTAGTGGCAGTGTTGGCTGGGTATTTTGTGTCCAGTAGTTCTTTATCCGATCGAAGATTGGGAGTAATTATGTTTGAATTTAGAACGTGGCTCGATGATCTAGATGGTCATGTAGCCAGGAGGAGGAAACACATAACTGGGGAAAGATCCGATGTTGGTTCGGCTGGTTACTGGGTTGATGGAATTTGCGATGGTTTGGGCAGCATTGCTCTAATTGTGGGTGTTTTCTTTTTTCTAAAGAAAAATCCGCCACGCAGAGGATACGAAAAACTACGCAGGATATACCCGTGCGTGGAGAGCCAAGAGGTAAACACTGAAATCATATACAAGAGGCTTCGTTTTAGAGCCTTGGTGCGGAATATATTGCTGGTGACGGGACACCTGCTCATTGCCTCTATTGGCTGGAACAGATACATTTCCCTGTATCAGGACCTTTTGGAGACAGACGACAATTCTCTGGCAATAACCAAGGATGAACTTTATACAAGGCAAAGTGAGATCATGAGATCTGGCTTCTTTTGGGTGGTCACTGTCACCTGGAGACTCATCAACTTTCACACAGCGGTGGATTACCTCCTACTGGCAATATTTTTCGACCGTCTGTGGGAGTACATGAAAGTACTGAGGTGGCTGGGCTACGTTATACCTCTCATTGTAGTGTACATAACAGAGTTTCATTTTCTGGAGTCTTATGCCTTTATACTGAGGGGCTCGACTGGATTTGTGACAAGATCATCCGAGTTGATACAAAATGTAACTGCAAGTGGTTAGAAACAAGAGAAAAACTATTGTGCAAAGTTTGTTGTTTGAAGTCGAAAGTTACAAGAGAACAAAAATATGTTTAAATACATTTATCGATTTTTTTTTTTTTTTTTTTTTTTTTTTTTTTTTTTTTTTTTTTTTTCATCGAAAATCATGCAAATTTTCATTCACGAGTATTTGTGATTTGAAATGTTCTTGGAGATTTTTCAACCGACTGCTAAAGTTGCACCTGTAGCAGTAAGGAATGCTTGAATGAGAAAAATTTTCTGTTTGCGATATTGAATAGTTGAGGAGGCTGTGAAAGTCAAATTTTGACGGCTGAGTATTTCGAAAAATGGATTCTTGTACTACTAATAATGCCTATGCAAATTATTATAATCGATAATTATCCATGACAAAGAAAAAAAGGATACATTGTACATAAAGTTATTAATTATGGTACTTGTTTATGCAGAGAGAAAAAAAATACAATTAGTTACTTAATTACAATTTATTCATAAGTGGAAGTTGGCTTTAAAATAAGTAAAAGGTTACTAATGTGTGCGGATATGGTCGTTTATGAAATATTGAGCGAAAAACTATTTTTTTACAAACGGAAATCTGTACAAGATTAACCACAGTACAAATGTTTGTATGGTGTGGTGTCACATCCAAAATTACTACGGAAAACATGAATGAGTAAAACAATTAAAAGCATAAAAAAAAAAAAAAAAAAAAACCTAAATCATAAATTAAAAAAACTTGACTTTCGCATGCCCATCGCATATACCATGTACCTATTACACGCAGCGAAACGCCAGGCGATTTCAGTTTTTGCATACAACTAACGACAAGCGTTCAAAATACACCTAAGTATATAATAATATAATGCGTCCGGCACGCTATTTTTGACATTCGGACTTTGCCTCGTCGTATATATATATATAATAACATACTAAAGCATATAATATGTATAAGTATAGCAGCAAACTCTTGCCTGTACGTTATGTTTACGTGCGCGCGTGTGTAAAAGTATTAATGCGAAGGTCAATGGATGTGTATGGGTATAAAAGCGACAAAAGGAGCAGCGTTTCGTGAATTGTTATTCTTATTTATTTATGCGCGAAGATGAAAAAAAAAAAAAAAAAGAAAAAAAGGAAACAGTATAAAAGTAATGAAAAAGAGAAACGTAATTGTTTATCTATGTATTATTTGTGCGTGTTGAAGTGGAGGGAATAATAACTTTTTTTTTTTTTTTTATTGAAACGGATCAAAAGCTGCGTGAATCTCACTTACTTGTACGTATATTATTGTCCCCTTGGCACACATTTCGAGTGTGCTTTTTTTTTATTTCTCTCGTGAGTACGCGTGTGTATTGACTTGTAATTATTTATACAAATATATATATATATTAATTTGCACTACAACGTCCTAGTGATAACAACGAAAGAGAAAAAGTTCTTTATAAATACACGTTACGTTTGGTCGCGAGATATCGGCGAACAGCGAACGTGTGATCTTAAATAACACATTTGTGATAGTACACGTAATTTTAAGAAAGTCGAAACGCGTGGTTTGTCGGTACTTTTTCTTCTCCTCTCCGATTAAATAGCACGACAATTAAGTTCAAATTGTTTTGTTTGTTTCCAGTAATAATAAAAAAAGACACGTTAGCAAAATATTTTTACAAATTGCCTGAAAACCTTATTATTTGGAGTTGAAAAAGAGGATTATATGCGTCCAAAGAGTAATTATTGCAAACTGTGCATTTCGATTGTAATGAAAAAAAAAAGCTCTCGTGCCTAGTAAACCGTATTATGTTTCAAGACATTTGTAATTAAAATGAATTGTCGTTTGAATAACATATCGAAATGAATTTTGTCATTCAATCGAAAGACACTACATTAAGTTTTGCAATTAAATTTATTATTGTATTATTCTAGTGAAATGCAAGCAAGCCTAAAATAAAACAAATACCTAACGAGGAATAATCTAATTGTTTGTATAGGTAGTAAGAAAAAAAAAAAAA